GGGCATCCACTGTTGCGCTGCACTGTACTCCTATGTTCCCTCCGCCCTCACAAACCCGCATTGACCAGCCTGGTGAAGTATGGTCACATCATCCCCAAACGGCTCGCAGGGCGCGGCCTCCCCTCATCCAGCAGTGGATTGACAATGCATCTATCTGTAGTGTGTGTATGTTAATGGGAATCAATTCACGTAATGTATGCCAGTGTTTGTCCTGCTATGAAGTCTTTGTTATATACAGTATGTCGAGTTACATACGCACTTGTAACATGCATTAATCTATTGACTTTGAATGTATTGACTTTGAATGTACAGGGTGTTCCAGATGTCTTGTGACCCCCATTGAATTCTCTAAAACATATCTTTTTTTTAAATAAGGTTTATTTAAAACATAAATGAAAATGAAAAAATGGATAGGTAGGGGTAAATTAATTGGGGGGTCACAAGACTTCTGGACCACCCCTGTCGTGTAAGTGGGCAGCGGTCTTGGACTATCAACCCTTTTAGATGGGGGGCCCTGTGTTGTTTAATAAATAAATATACCATCTTTAGCTTTGTGTGAGACACGGGGGGGGGGCGGGGGGTGATCACCCCTAAGTCCCCACCCCCCTCCTTCTTTGTATCCGCCACTGTTAACATGCATGCGTGAACGAGTCTGTTTCTCTGCGGTTGTTTATGAAGTCGTATTTGTGCCCGCATCGGCAGGGTGTGTTGTTGTGATTCTGTGGAACCACGTGGCCGGAGTGTCGGGTTTGCCGAGCACGGTGATTCACGCCACCTTGATCCGCCCTCCCCCCCCTCCCGTTTACCCGTCTAACCTGTCTAACCTGCATCACACACACCTCACCTATCCCACATCGTTCACCTCCATCACACAATCTCACCTGCATCACATAACCTCGCGATCAGGGACAGCCGGAACAGAGAATGACATCATTCAAACAGATAACAAAATGAATGAATGTGTGCTTGGGGAGGACACGTCATGGTTACAGGGATGGCGACCGATGGTCAAGACTCACGACGGAGTGGCAGCCAAGGGAGAAATGGATTAAGCGAGTGCGGGGCCTGTCGCATATGTTATAAAGGAGCTCCAAATAAATAAATAAATAAACCACATAAATATTAAAACACAAATTTTTAACATGCACAGTAAAGTAATTGTATTTTTTCATTTGCTATACAGCCAGATAATACGACAAATCGCTAACCTTAAACACCCAGTCGTTCGTAAAAGTTGAAGGCGGTATAGTACTATAGTAGTAGAGCAAGTGCAGAATCGCTGAATCGGAATTGATAGTTTGAAAGCATTTAGCGCGGGGCCCTTGAAAGTGCGGGGCCCGTAGCATATGTAGCTACTTTTGCTACTAGGATAATCCGGCACTGGACCGCGTGCTCGAGGCCATTGAGGTGAGATGGAGCGATGCCATCGAGGGGAGATGGAGCGATGCCATCGAGGTGAGATGGAGCGATGCCATCTAGCTCGTGCGTGCAACAGGCGCTGAGGATCACATCGCAAAAACGTGACAGATGGCGACGGTTTGGGGGGCATCCCCGTCATTCAGCAGTGGACAGACCATGGCTGCCGATGATGACGATGATGCTCATGATGATTGTGACCTCACCTCCCGACCAAACTTACCTTTGCCAATGACATCATCGAACATTCCATTCACCTTGGCGCATCACGCCACTTGCCCCGGAAACGCTCTGCCCAAATTAGGCGCGCCGTGCCGAACGAGTCACGCGTGGCGCTGGCCAAGACGGCACACGGTGCTGACGGCTCGACATGAGGGTCACACTTCTTACTCATCAACAACAGCGCGTGGCTATAAACAATAATATGCCATTGGCGACATTTCGGCTTCTTGGTTAGAAGATGAACGACGACTACGCTTCAATCGTGGATACTACCATCACCTTGTGTCATCGGTTCGCTATGGAGGAGGGCCATCGTCCGAAACGTCGCCTGTCGGTTCATTTTAGGGCCGCGCAGCGTTGCTGACGAATGCGTTGAGTTTGTTGTTGTTCAATCTTGATTTGAAGCTTTCGTGACTGCAGGAATCCATACTCTTTGGTTCTTTCGGTAAAGTCACGTGGGTATAAAATCAAGTAGATCACGACGTTTCGGGCGCAACACAAACGTCCGTCATCAGCTTTCCTACCTGACTTTACCGAAAGAACCAAAGAGTTTGTTGTTGTTGTTTTGCTCGTGCACCGCAGCTGCCCGCAACGCAGCGCTAACGCCCGCTGTGCATGACGGTCACCCATCCAAAGCGCTGTCCAGACTCATCACGGCTTAGCTTGCCACATCTCACGCTGCCCGGTACCGTCTTGTATTCATCGACGATGAAAGCATTGGCCGTCGTCTAGCCGCAACGGGATGACGGCATCACCGAACCACTGCGCTTCCGCGACTAGATATCACGATCGTCCATTCTCTATCAACTTCTGGATAAAGTCATCCCTGCACAAGCCTTGACACAACGCGTCACCGCTACCAGACTTATACTAATAGGGTTTTTTCCCCTTTTTCTGGCAACAAAACTGACACCTTTTGCAAGGAATCATGCTTACATTAACCACAATACTTGCAGTCAAATGCAAACAAAAACAATACTCTGATAATTTATGCATTGTCCTTTGGCGTCATCTGGTCGAACACCATATGAGACTAGGCTATAAAGAAAGCTGTCTCTGGTGTGGACCAATCAGTTTCAAAGACAATGTATAAATTATCAGAGTAGTGTTTTTTGTTTGCATTTGACTGCAAGTATTGTGGTTAATGTAAGCATGATTCCTTGCAAAAGGTGTCAGTTTTGTTGCCAGAAAAAAAGGGGAAAAAACCCTATTAGTATATTTTGGTACTGGCAAAGGAGGTCCCATGACGCTACCAGACTTCATCAGTGGCGCGTAGCCGTGTCGCATTGCTGCCATGACTGTTGACTCACGCGGTGCTGGTGACTCTTCGTCTGCAGGGAAGAGGATATGGTGTTATGAGTCATATCTCCACTCAAACAAACACACACACATCAGCGTCAGTCATGATATATCCACTGCTGGATGAAGGCCTCCCCCCTAGCTGTCGCCTTCCCATCCCTCCCGATGTAACAATCCATCCAGCACACGAGTTTACTTCATCACTTCCCTCCTTTGGCTGCCACTCCGCTGTTAGTCTCGACCATCTTCAAGCGACGTTGTCCTGGGCTTGATCTTGGTGAATGGGTTATATATTCTCTATTTTTGAGTTGCTGATCTAAGCGACATAATGATCACACGTTTAGTTCTACCGATCTGGTGACCTGGGTAAGGCTGAGAAATGTTGGACGATACTTGCAATCTAGATTTGAAGTTTTCGTGACTGCAGGGATCCATACATACTCTTTGGTTCTTTTGGTAAAGTCACGTAGATATAAAACAAAATAAATTGCTGAGGCAGTGCCCGCCTCAGCAGTTGTTTTATGCTGTGGTTGTCCCACCTGATGACGGACGTTTTTGTTGTGCCCGAAACGTCGTGATTTAATTTGTTTTGTTTTATATCTACGCGACTTTACCGAAAGAACCAAAGAGTAATACTTGCAATGCTGTACACCTCTCTCTCTCTCTTTACCTGTGTGTGTGTTGTTACATCTGTTTGGTAACATTTCTGTGACAATAAACAGCTGAACCATCTCAAATATTCGCAATACAGTACACGGCATACCAGCCTTCATACCATCGTCACCATGTGCTGTGTAAGAATAGCGGTTGATCAATTATCACCAGCCATGCTGGATGTGATTACCAGCGAAACGTCGTACTCAAATTGTAAATGATGTTGATTTACTCTTCAACACACTGGTGGGCTAAAGTAGTGAACTATTTGTCCTTTGTAAACGTGACACATTTTTTACTGTTTGGCCGTGTCGGGTGGTGGAGGGTTACGACACATTTATAAATAACGCGATCTAACCCAAAAACCTTTATCATGAATATCACCAGACACCTTTCTAGATTTAAAAAAACTAAACTATATTTTTTCCCTGGGGTCCCGGTAGTTGTTTAACCATACTTCACCACAACGGTTAGTGCGGGATGGTGATGGATCGGACGCTAGCCAGGACTGGTTCGGATATCACTCGCCACTGATGTTAGCCGTGGCCAAAGAATCTAACTCATGGCGCCGGTGTCAACCGCGTCGCAAATATCACAAACATCGACAGCGACGAGGTTAATGGAACCAAAACTGGACAAATGCACCACAAAGCCATGCGGACATGCACGCTTGGAATTACACCGATGAACTGAAAGGGGCACCGCGTGTATATCAGAGAACATACGCAGGTGAGATGTCTCGGATTTACTGTTGAGCACAGTAAATGGGCTTGTGCAGAAGACGTCGCAGGCGCGAAGGGGGCCACAGGCAGCGGCGAAGACTAACAGCGGAGTGGCACTCAAAGGAGGAGCAGAGGGAGGACTTCATCGGGACGGACGGAGCGATGAAATCAGCGCGTGTGCTCAGGTCTGCGCGAGGAATTTTCATTTCCCATCGCGGGATCGTGAAAGGTGGCCCGGCGTTTGAGGGCTTGGTGGTAGGGGGTGCGGGCAAGTCGTTCATCCAGCAGTGGAGTCGACCATGCGCCTGGCTATGATGATGACGACGCTACACACTCACCGAGGCGATGACATCATCTGGTCGTATCACATCGCAGGAGCATTTCGAGATAGCGGCAATTTTGGGGGGGCGGGAGTGGGAAGGGTGATCCCTTCATCCAGCGGTGGATTTGACCATGATGATGTGAATGATGATGGGGATCACACATCTTGCTGTTATTGGCAAAGTTGCAACGTATCAATCAATGCTCTTGCTATACGCACACCCCGCCCCCGCCTGCGTGTGGGTGCGGGAGGCGTGACCGGACGCGAAGAGGAGAAGGAGGAGGAGCAATATCCATTGTGGAACGCGTAAATAAATATATATTGAAGTGAACTATTTAAAAAGCCTCGTCCCTCCCCCACCCAGCCACCCTCTCGCCCCCCTGCTGTGACGTGAAGCCACCGCACAGGGCGCTTCGACTTCACCTGCGCGGCGAGGAGGAAGAAGAGGAACAGGAACGAGCCGCCATTTCATCCTCGATCTTCACGTGTTCCACATTTACCTGCCGTCTTGTCTCACCTGGCGCGGTGTCCTTTTGGTGAATAACATCCACGGCTACAACAGGAGCGAGAAGAAAGTGTTGTGGTGGTGTTGTCCACGACGACGACGACGATGATGATGATGGCCTCCTCGCCTCTCGTGATGGTGGCGCTGGCTCTCGTTCTCGGCATGGTCGCCCGAGCTTCCGCTCAAGGTGAGGCTGCCGGTGGTGGCGAGTGATTGTTTGACCCTCACCTGTGTGGTGAGGATTGAAACGCTCACCTGTGCGAAGTGCGGTGAGGGTGGGAGAACTCGCCTGTGCCGAGATTAGGGTTGGAACATTCTCCTTTTGCGAGGTGAGCGTTAGAAGAACGGCTCACCTGTGAGGGGTGAGGGGTAATACGGCTCACCTGTGAGGGGTAGAGCGGCTCACCTGTGTGGAGTGAGGGGTAGAGCGGCTCACCTGTGAGTAGAACGGCTCACCTGTGCGGAGTGAGGGGTAGAACGGCTCACCTGAGAGGGGTGAGGGGTAGAGCGGCTCACCTGTGAGGAGTAGAACGGCTCACCTGTGCGAAGTGAGGGGTAGAACGGCTCACCTGTGAGGGATGAGGGGTAGAACGGCTCACCTGTGCGGAGTGAGGGGTAGAACGGCTCACCTGAGAGGGGTGAGGGGTAGAGCGGCTCACCTGTGAGGGGTGAGGGGTAGAGCGGCTCACCTGTGCGGGGTGTGGTGGGGGTATATACGGTATTTAATATAAAACATCAACTACCTATTAACAACTGCGTTGATGTTCATGATGTTACGTGCGTTGTTGAGGACGACGTTTTAAAAGGTGTAACCAACTCCAGTATTGACCCAAATCTGTTAACGAACGTTTGTTTTTAAAATATCTTTGTTTTAAAAAACAATATCAACTTAACACGACGGGCGAGTGGTGAATGTCTAATTTTAATCGGAGTTGCCGAACCCCCCTGCTCCCACCCAGTTGGCCGCAAAACGCCAAGCGGCCAGCGACAAACGGCACCGCTAAAGCAATTCTGCGTAGACTTAACTCAAAGATGACGTCCGTAAGCGGATCGTTTACCAGAATTGACCCAAAGTGTATTAAAATCTAATATATTTTATAACGACGACAACCAACAAAAATTGGTCCTTCGCTCCGACTGGCGAGGAGACTTTTAACGTGGAGATGGGCGGGAGTGGTGGCGGTTGCCATTTTAGAACGAAACGACAACTTTCGAGCTCCACTGCTGCCGAGAGACGGGCGGTGGCTGGGGGTTACCGGCGGGGGGAAACGTGGCCATCCGAAGTAAAATAAACCACCTTGATAAGTGGAAATGCCTGAGCAAATGCGTGCATGACCAACGTGTATAGTATTACAAAAAAATGTATTTTCACCCACGCCTTTTTAAACACTCCATGGACCCCAAACACTGGGCGTTTGGTATATTGAGGGGGTCGTAGGGGTTTTTTGTTAACGAGAAACAGGAACCACGTAAGGTGTGTGTGTTACGCGCGCGTGCATGTTGAGGTGTGCGCGCGCCTGACGAGGAAGTGGCGTTTAATAATAAATAAATAAAGCAGACCACACATTTAGGGGAATCGTTCAAACCACCGAGCGTAATGTTTTGTCGAGAGAGAGAAATGGCCCAAATGTCTGAAACGTTACACCCGGGGATGGTCTTTAAGAGTTGTCCAGTATAGAAAATGGAGCCCCCCCCCCCCCCACACACACCTAACGAAAATCTCTCTTGTCGGCTCGAAAATCTCTCCTTGGCGTTTGACGAATGTTAGCAGTTTCCGTGGCGAGACGATCATGAGCCATGCACGAGTTCGTAAGAGAACGTGGTACCGTGAGGTTTGTCGATGTATCGTTAGACATCAACAAAACACCTTGTTGGGGCTGGGTGGAACGTTGCGTGGTTAGGGCCCTTTACCCAGACGGCAAGACGGGTGATGGGATTGCAGCCAGAGTGAATGCCCTGCTGAGATGGACCGGCGAGGTGCCTTGGTGTGCCCTTTATGAACCGTTATCGATGGCTACTATGGGTAGGGTGATTCTACAGCACGGCCGATGGTAGTGAAGTTTGTGTTTGCGCTGCTATAACTTCCACCACCAAGGCCACGCGCCTTGTTGGCTTCATAAGTTGCATATTGAAATAAGCAATTTGTTAATCCAGGGTGATTCATTTATAGATAACCTACCGATTTGTAATCATGACCTCGGCTTATGCATCTCATCAAATGTTGTAAGTAAATAACAGCGGCTGCCGTTAGACACTATGTATAACGTTTGGAGCTGGTATTACTTGTTTTTGAGATTGGAGGGTGACGAAAAGGCTTTGGAATAAAATGTTAACCATAAATTCATCCGATTTCATTTCAGTGGGGGTATCTATACTTGGCTCGCCCAATGTGTAACCTATGGATTCGTGGTGTTGCTGTTGGTTGGGGTGAGGCTTTTCTTTGGGTAACGTGATGCTGGGGTTGTGTTACGGTACGACTTTTGGGCGAGGCTGCCTCTGCCTTAAGCCAGTGTTTAGCATGGCCATTGTTAAAGATTCATCTGTCGGGGTGTGGTGACTGTCGTGGAGAGAGAGGATGCCTGGAAAGTGACAATTTATGGAATTGCTGGAAGGTTGAGGCACCCTCGTGGATAGAATAACACCTCCATCACTCGAAGTCGTTCAGGGACCTTGCCCGTCCATGTATGTTGACCTTCTACTTCTGCACCCGTACGTAGCCAACCGTGTTAATTGGAGGCGCGGGGGGAAAACGACATACTATAAACACGACATATCTAAAGAAATTGGTTATCAATCCTAGATTTAAAGGTGCGCGTAGCTCCAGTGGCATCCTTGCCCGTGTTGCGCCTCGACAAGAACTTCCCGCAGCGTGCCGGATGTCTCTGCCACAGAGCCCCCCACATTACGCAGTAACGCACCTGGCGGCTTCGATCGTTTGGCTCCATGAGATGCATGGGTTCAATAAAATCTGCTCCTGTGACTTCTTTAATATGGGCTTCTCAAGTCTTGGCGAGTTTTAATGGCGGCTCTGCCCCGTCACCAATGGCTGCACTTATAAATGGTGGCTAAATTCCGCCTCCTGAGGAATTAAAATGATCGCTATTACTGTCGTGCGATCAACAGAGCGCTCTCGTATGCAGAGCGGGTGGGGAAATGTTGTTCCCTACTGTGTGGACCCGAGGTCTCTTAAACGGGTTGGCGATCGCACGAGGGGATTGAATGAATTTTGCGACACGCAAAGTCCCCACCACCCCCCCCCCCCACTCGAGCACGTGGTTTTTTTGCGTTCATTTTGTCCTTCTTGGCGCAGCCTCCTGATTTTAGCACTGGTTGGCTTCGTACGGTGGGAAATAAATTTAACGTGCGGACAACAGCGCTCTCGGTGATACGGTGGAGATAATTTTTGCTTGTATATTTACGACATTGGATGGTCAACTTTATCAGTCCGCATCCCTGCCATTTGGAGGAGAATACACCTGATTCCATGTCCGTGACCACCGTTCCCATCAACCCCTCCCGCAGACATGTGTCCCGCCTGCAAGGGGGTCGACCCGTGCGTGAGTGCGTGTCGCTTCAACCCCTACGCGACCAAGTGTAGCGTGGACTGCACCAGCGGCTGCAAGGCCATGTGGAAGGATCCCGAGAACAAGATCGTCAACTGCGAGAAACGTGAGTTTCCCCCCCCCCCAATCCTCCCTCTACTCGTTGCTCGTGAAGGCCTTAGCGCTTGTTCTCTGCGCACACTGCCCGTGGCACGTCGTCGTCCCCCCTCCTCCTCCTCCCTCTCTGGCGGTGTGATATGGGTGTTTGTGTGTTGGTCTACATGTGGAGTGGCGGTTAAGGTGTGTGTGTGGTGTTGTGTGGGTATGCAGATGTAACACAATGTGTGTAAATGTTACACAATGTGTGTACAGTCCTATTGGTAAATGGATGGGCAGTTATGTACTAATGGGCATCTGAAAAAGCATCGTAGATCAAAATATTCTGATTCTGTGGGAATTCTGGTTTGCGGTGTTGTGCGAATGGTTCGGGCGTTCAGCATTGCCTGAAATGTGGTGGGTGTATACAAAGTCATGTTGCGTACGGTACGAAAGAAGTTCAACATATACAGAGTGGTGTGTGTGGCGTCGTGGTGGTTTTTTCTTTTCCGTGGCTTCTCGTGGCTGTGTTTGCACGTTCGAGTTTGGTGTGCGGATTTGCCCGTCCTTGTGCGTGCCTTGTGCGTGCCGTGTGCAAGGGGCTGTCGTCTCGTGTTACACAACTCTCGTCGTTTACTCGCCCTCTCGTTTACACATTAACGAGACCGCCGAGCCCGCAGTGCCGTTGGTGTTTGCGCAACCGGCGTCATCGCGCGGGTCACGGTACCTGCAAACGTGACCCGCCAGCCAACGCATTTTGAGCGCAGACTTCATGGACACCCCCCCCCGCCCCACACAAAGTAACCTTCATAGTCATTGGGGAATTTCCCAGAGCATGGCAGGCAACAGTCCGTGCTTTCGTGGAAACGCAACCGATCTGCCAATATCTTTTTTTTGCCAAATGAACCTTATGGCGGTATACATAGGCTTAGTTCTTTCGGTAAAGTCACGTGACTTTACCGAAAGAACTAAGAGTATGAATCCTTGCAGTCACGAAAGCTTCAAATCTAGAACTTATGGCGGGACCCCGAGGTCCCATAAGCCCCCGGCTCTCTCGCATAAACTGCGTTGCGACGTCATTTTATATCTGAAGGCGAACGATACGGCAATCTATTCCTCTCGACGAGCTCTACACGATGCGCTAATCAAAGTTTCAAAGTTTTTTGTTTATGACAACGGCCATTTTGATGGGTCGCTGCGTTTATGTGCGCGGTGGGACGGAGTTTCAAAGAATGAATGTTAGTTTTAATGAAATTAGGCAGTTTTGGCCCATTTAATAGTTTTTTATGAAAATCTGGCAAATCGTCCTTGCTTAACACCGTTGATGGCAATTGTTGATTCTAGTCTGTGTCGGTTCTCACGTGGTTTAAGCAACGGTGACAAAACGGACTGCACACTGTAAGCAAAGTGGACATTTTGGACACGCGTGTGATCTCATTTGCAAGAGTGAATCGCTGCGCCCTTGTCACAGTCCAGAGTCCAAGTTTTTAAAATATTTTATGCGCAACTCATCCGTGAATGTAACGGGTTGATTGAGTGGTATCCTGCCCTGCCTGCTCAACAGAGCAATGGCGTGGTTGCTCTTCATTGGCCGGTGGTGGAAATTCCACATTCCTATGGTAGGAGCCAGGCTCTTGATACTGATTGGCCAATTCACTGGTGGTTGGGGCACCACGCTTCAAGCAATTGCCTTATGTGCAGGTAAATTTGTCTCAAACCTCCCCCTCGCATACATGTTTTTCCTTGACAGTGCTATAGACAAATGTGAATTATATATTTACATCATTTGCTTATTCGGAAGCCACTGGGAGCTATACACTTATCTAAATTGACAACTCATTCATTTTTTTAGAACCGTTTGTGTTTAGTGGTCCTTCCCTCGCACTTCCGATTTTAGTACTGTTGGCTACGTACAGTGCGAAAGACCTTCAACATACATTGTAATGAACCCTTTCCCGTTCGGAGACGTCTGAAGTTGCAGGGTGGGTCCCATTCACCACTGAATCTCGGAGTGTGCAAGCAGTCGGCGTTTATTTTATTTCTAGGCATAGCGCTGTTGTTTTTAAAGACATTGTACTTACAGCAGAGTGCTATAGCGACATGACCGCACTTTTTTTTGATAGCCGGCGCCAAACCATGCCCTCCCGCATGGCCTTGTGGGAGCCTCTCCTCCGTATGTCTTCTGACCTGAAGACGTACCGAAAAAGTAATTTCATCTTAGTTTTTTTTCATCTGATTCCGTTCCAATGACGTACGCCGTCGAAATGGGAAAGGGTTCAAGTTGCTTACCTGTTGACCTTTGCTCCCCATCTCGTCCCGAATCCGCTGTCCCTCTTCCCACCCCTCCTCTCCGTCGACGTTCGGCGGCGTTGCAGTGACGCCTCGCTGCATCCTCATGCACCAGGAGAGCGACGCGCTGAAACGCCAGAGCCGCTCGGGTCTCCGCGTCCGGCGGCCGCCTCGACACGGACGGCCTCTACGACCCCAAGTGCTTCGACAACGGCACCTTCAGGGCGGAGCAGTCCAACGAGACGACGCGCCAGCGCTGGTGCGTCAACAGTGCCGGGGTGCGCAACACCGACAAGCTGGTGGACGCGGACCCGGAATGCAAGCGTCTCGTCATGTGCACGTGAGTAGTAAGGGGGGGGTGGCACGGTGGCGATGTCGACTCTCCCTCTCGCGTGGTACGCAGGAGGTCGTGGGTTCGATCCTGACCCCTTGACGCCTGCTGTGTGTTTGGAGTTTGCATGACTCTCCTCGTGGTGGTGTGGATTTTTCTCTGGGATCTCTGGTTTTTTAGAAACGTGCGTTTTAGAGGATTTTTGCTGCTATAAATGTGCTAGCCAGGTCACTTCTGAAAAAGAGCCTCTACAGCTCTGGGCCTCATCTGGTAAAATAAAAATAGCTTAAGTTTTTTTAGCTTCATATGTTCTGGCAATGCGGCAAAGTTTCCTCCTGCCAAGTTTGATTTAGTTATTTGTCAGTTGGCTAATTGATGGTGATGATGATGGACCGCTCATTGCAATGCATTCTACATGTAGTCCTCGCCCATTCCAATTTTTATTGTGAGATATTCCTCCTCCCGTGATTGTCAAGTGCCAAGCAGTCCAGGGGGGGGTGTGGGGGGGTAGAGTGAGTGGCTCGCAATCAGGGGAAGGGTTACCGAGTTCACTCGCACCGTCAGTACGGCCGCCACCGCCGAAAGATCTAATCGCACTTCTGCGTCGTAAAAGTCCGGTGTGCGACTAATCACCACATTGCGCGCAGCGCAGCTATCCGAAAGAACAATAACGATGTATCCATAATTTTTCGTTGTGCGATTTTTTTTCATAAAATAACAACTCAATGTAGGGGGTGGTGCAGCACCGGGATTTGCCGCTGGTTCACGCGCCGTGTGACATTAAAAAGCCGGCCAAACGTCGGTGGCGAGGAGAGGTGCTCTCGTAAGACGAGGCCGTCGTGATGAGGTGCGACGTTTAATACCGATGTGTGTTTGTCCTTGCAGCCAAATCGTGCTGGACTTCTTCGTGAACATGACGCACCCTACTGTGCTTGAACCGCAGTTCAAGACGTAAGTAAAACGGCGGGGGGGGGGGGAGCGGGTGGGGTGGGGGACGCCCCTGCGGTTAACTTTCTTGTTGTAGGTTTTAGGGGCTGCTGTAATTACAGTTGTTGCTGTTGGGGGGGAAATGAGAAATTATCAAAAGGTGGATTGTAAATTGTTCCATCAACGTTAGCGTGGGTTATCTTTTCAGCAGTGAATACGTTTCCGTGCGAGTTGTCGACTTGCTGCAGGACCCCATTGGTTATGGTGGATTTCGTTACTGGGTGAAATTAGGACCACTTCCGCTTGGTTCGTAAGGATTTGTCCATTTAAAAAAAAAAGGATTTTCGTGGTACACGCGTATAATTGTGCGTGTCAAACTGGATTATTTTAATTGATTTTTAAACTGTGCATGTGTTACCTAAAAAATAGGCTGTAGATTTTTTAAATTCAGAATCGACGAAGCGATGCGACCTGGAGACTACGGACTGGACAGCTGACACGAATGTGATGGCACAAACAATTTGCGGACCTTGCAAAACGAGACTAAGAATCTATTCCGGAATCTGTCTCGAACCACGACGATTCGCCAAACCCGCTCCCGCGTGTTTTTCGGGATGTTTGGTGCACATTTGTCTGACGTTTCACTCAATTTGCTGCGAGCTTCTTAAGGAAGTTACTGAAAAAGAGGGGGGGGGGGGCGAGGGGAAACGTCATTGGATCGAACTTAATCCGTATGTACTTGTGTTTTTTACCGACGTCTGAGGTTTAATTTTACAAATTCTTCTTCCTAGGAGACTTCAAAAGGTGATGCAGGACTCCTTCCTCCTGAGCCCCTCGCAAATGAGCGAAACCACGGTACGTTGTTGTTCGTGCTCTATTTGTATTAAAACTAAAGTTGCCTGAAAGATCAATCGGATGGACAAACGTGTACATCATACGGCATGGGAAAGGCCTTCGTCCCAGCAGTAGATTGACAAAGATGTTTTTTTTTTATAAAACTTACCACGAATATTCGGCCCGAGCTGGAATCCTCCAACTGCTGCATCCTCTGGGGTGGAGCTCCCAGGTCTCCTTCCCCATATAGAATTCTGCGTGATGCAGTCTGGGTGACCCCGGTGGGCTAGTGCTCTCCGATTGTGAAAAAATTAACCCGTAAAAACAAAGTTGTTCACTATAAATCCTTTATATGCGTGGCGGCTAGAGTCCTCTCGTGCTCTGGCTTGAGATGGCTGCCACATATGGGTCAGATGATTGCATTGCACCATTAAGCAATTGGTAATTAAATATAATATTTTTGTCCTAAAAAGTGTAACATTTTGGAAAAAAAAATTCACGAACATTAATTATCACGCACAATGAGTCTGTGCAAAATGTCAGCTCGATTGGATCACGGGAAGTGGGTTAAAAAACGACCGAAAGATTTGCACGGTCGTGAGCAAGCAAGCGAACTTAATATAAAGGATTTAAAAAAAGCAATTGTGACAAAAATATAATGCAAGTCTTTACGAGAGTACAAATCGCTAACGATCAATATCGCCACCGCCCCCCCCCCACCACGTAGATGGACGAAACCGGAAATGTTCTCATCACCATCAAGGCCGGCAACACGTCTGCCGATCAGGATGTGGGGACTGTCGCCTACTACTTGGAGAAGCAGGTGAGTGGCCAACTGGGGGACGCTCCCGCTGGGGGACGCCCCCTTTCACATGTTTGAAATTATGATGTGCGGGCCCGCTCAATAGAAGGGTACAGCGTTCCGAGATGCCCCACCCACGTAAGGCGCTCTACAAACGCTCGATCATTGACCCATAACATGGATGTTGAGCTTCTTTAGCACCGTATGTTACCAACCGTGTTCATCGGAGGTACGGGGGGGAAGGACGACAAACTAAACACAAAGCGGTTCTAAATAAATGAGTTGTCAATATAGATTTAAAAGTGCACAGCTCCAGTGGTTTCATAATGTCAGAAGGAAGAGCGTTCCAGACGGCCACAGAAGTGCATCTGAAAGCGCACCCATGCGGTGACAGTCTTTGTTCGCTGGTCAGCCAAAAGCCGCTGCGTTGCTGACCGACGTTTGCGTGATTTGTTTATGATCCTTGACAAGATCGCGGCAAGGTATTGCGATTCATTTTGTGGGCGAGCACTTTGTGTAATGAGTATGAACACCGTAATATGTAGAGAACCGCAGAACTTGGGCAATTGTTAGTAGCGCCGGCTCCTCGCTGCCGCGTGGCTGCCTTCCCCACTCGTCCTGCAGTTCTCCTCATGCCCTCCCTTTGAGTCTTGTAATTATTTATTGACTCCCTTGCCAAAAAACCATTAAATCATTCCTGCTTTTTATTTCTTATTATCTCCCCCGCGCCAGTTTTTGAAGGGGGAGCTGCCGGGCCTGCCACGCGAAGTGCTCGACCTGAGCAAGCGCGGCGCGCAGGTGTGGTACTACGACGACGAGCCGCCGCGCATGAACATGAAGCACATGGCCCCCGGCATCATCGCCATCATCTGCGTCCTCGTCCTCTCCCTCGTCGCCGCCATCGTCGTCATCGTGAGTGTCGGATTCGGGGTTTTTATTTTTTTTGCGCAAACGCGCGCGACACGCCTCGTGCAGCTAACACGCTAAACCTATGAAGTAAACTATTCTTATATTTTTATTTAAAGCTTTCGTGACTGCGGGGATTCATTTTCTTGGTTCTTTCGGTAAAGTCACGTAGAAGGGAAGCAATAAAATAATAAAAATATAAACAATAAAAAATTATCACGACGTTTCGACTGCAACACAAGCAATCGTCATCAGGTGTGAAATCCACAGCAAGAAAATTGTTTCCCTTCTACGTGACTTTACCGATAAAACCAAGAATATATTCTTATATAGTTTACTTTATCTGCCCACTGAGCTATACAGCTCTCTTTCAGAAGCGAACTGGCCACAAATTATAACTCGACAAAGTGACTTGTCGCGTGGAAATTTATAGCGGCCAAATACTCTAAAAGCATGTTAATTCTAAATGGAGGGAAAAAACCAAATGACCCTGGAGAAAATTACATGCGACCACAGGGAGGGGGGGGGACATGCAAACTCCAAATATACAGGCGTCTGGATCGAACCCACGACCTCCTGTATAACAGGCAAGGGTAATTAACATCTCTTCACCGTGGCACCCCCTGGTGGTATTGGCGGAACACCACGATGCTGAATGCTGCCTGGATTTGGGTTCAACCCTAGCCACAGAATGATTGCCCTCTAATGCAAATTTTTGCTGGGATCCTCCAGAAAAAAATCTTGACTCGGGTGAGGCTTTCCTGGGTAAACGAGCAGAATGATCATAGATTTTGTATGAAAATACAATTGGTAATGTGGGTTTGGATATAACTGTGCCATTTCTAATGCTCATTTCGCGCCCCAAAGACACGTCGTCTTCCCCTACTATCGCCTTCACACACTGTTGGGTCAAGTGCTGTTAGTGAGCACTGAATGAAGGCCCGCATGGCACAGGAGGGAGGGGGGGTGACGGCAACCACGCCTGGCTACCTTTGTCTCCCTAGTGGCGATTGTTTACACCGCACCAGGTACTCATTTGAGGTTTAGTCGACTTTGGGGGGGAATCCCAGGACCAGTTCGTATAATCTTCACCGGTGTTGGCTGGTGCATAGCACGGCGTGCTAGCCGCTGTTGTGTAATCTTGTACAAGAATACAATTACAGTGGCTGTGCCCTGCTAACGTTGTCGTGTCTCCCAGGTGGTGATGAAGAAGCGGTCATCCAAGAAGGACAACATCTTTGAGGTAAGGCCGTAGCAGGCGGGAATGATGGCGAGCGAAGTCACGAGCTCCTCGGATTTCATTCGCAGTCGCCGCCCTCCTGCGTAACGATTCGAAAGCGACGGTTGACGGGCCCCATCCTTTTCTTCACCCCCCCCCCCCCCCCCCATTCATGTGGTCCCGTTGCACCGGGACAGCTATTTGCGGATTTTCAGTAACCCTATCGTTGGACCCTCCTCGGCGTTTTGTAATGAGCTCTCGTTACGTCGTAAAATTTTACAGAATAAAAAAAACGGGGATTGATCGCGCAGTGCTTCGGGTGAGGCGAGGCAACCGATGAGTCTGGCTTCTGGGTGAGCGAGGGTGGATCGCCGCCGCTGCTGTTCCTCCGAGGAACGCGTGCGTTGGGCGATGTATGGAGCCGTATGTGGCTCCCCCCCCCATGCTCACAGATTGGCGACTCCCTCAATTTTTCCACCCGCCCTCGCGTGGCAGCCATGGCAGCACCCTAGCCGCGTGGCGTACGGTGGACGTGGTTTGATCCGCGGGGCCGGCGTCTCTCCACTCAAGTCCGAGGGGGGGGTGGGGTGGGGGCCGTAGGGGAAGTTCAGTGGGTTGGGTTGTCAACGGCCATTTTTTGCGAGACATGGTTTGGATGGGATTTGCACTCGTGCCAACCTCGTGCACGGTGGAACTCATTGTATCAGTGGTGATGCGAGGGGATGGAAGGTGGGGTGTGCTTATTGGTAAATCTTAAATATTCACATGCAGAGAAGGTCCTCTATTGTACCTGCCTAGCCGCTTGGTGTTTTGGGGCTTTGGGCCTGTGCTTGGCAACTATGCTTTGGATTTGTATTGAAGTGACTCTTGTTGTCCACCTGCCAGTCCACGTAAACAAGGGTCATGGGGTGCCTTTGACATTTCCACGAGTCTATTTCTGGCTACTCCCAAGGCTGCTTACCTTTTTTGGGAAAGTTTTTTTCAAATTGTTAATGCCTAAATTACCTGCAGGCTAATGTGGATGATGATTAACAGCACTTGGCCAATCCGCTGCTGGATGAAGGCCTCTTGAAGCCAGCCCCGTGTCTCAAGATCCTTGTGTATCACAACTACGAGGCATCCCTAAACCCACTTGTGTGTCTCCCCGTGTCTGTCTGTGTGTTCCTGACATATTAGGGCCAGGAGCTGCAACAGAAGCTGACATAAACAACGAGCGACTCGTAAATCAAGGAGGGCATCGCTCCTGGCCAACACTCCTTCTGAAATCGCATCGCCGTTACCTCCAACCTAGTAGTTAATGAATCATCCCCGATACAATGTCGGTAAATCTTGACCTCTTAGCTGTTTTTGTACATTTAGGTCATTCACGTTCATTGCTTTTGGACCTGGAGGAAAAAAAAAACTTTCTGGTCATTTGTCTTTGAAAAAAATGAGGATGTTTTTCCTGTGGCGTTTTAGAAATTGTTCTTGGCGCGCCTCCATGTAATCATGCGATCACTCGTGCGTGATTTGATTTTTATAATTGGTGTCCTTTAACCTGACCTCCCGTGTGTCGACTTGGATCTGTGTAGTAGAGTTAACCGTGCCGTACGTCGTCGCATGCCGTTCTATATTTAGGGCTGTGTTTTTATACTTCACGTTTTAATAAACATTTTGAAAACGGGGAAGGGGGGGGTGTGGGAGGGAAAAAACCTGGCAGTGCGAACAAACACTCGCAGCCACCACCGTCTCCTTAAAAAAAAACTAAGTAGCAACGGTTACGTATTTTAATTGTCGATGCAACATTTAATACACACTGTTTAAAAGCTCCAAAAACTTCAAATATCTACACCTTAAAACTAGCGGCCATTGTTAATCTGTAGGCTTGTCTCAATGTTGTGATTTCCGTATATCAAAAGTTGGGAATTTAGTCGGCTGGCCAGAATTGCCCCCCCCCCCCCCCCCCCGCCTAGGGTCGTCCCAGACGTTCATCCAGGGTAGGTAAACTGAAGATCCAACCCAGCAAACATGCTGACAAGTGGCAGTTTTTGAGGTTGCACTATGGTATGCTTTGAGGGTCGACAGTTGTGGTTTATGTTTTGAATAGTAATTCCATGCTTCCCACTTTTGTTTTACCAAACCTGCACTGACCGGCATGGTGAAGTTAGTCAAATCCCTACGTGTCTCGCGTGGTGTGAGGCCCTAATTGAGCAGTGGGGTGAGGGAGGGGGGCTGTTTGTAGAAAAGCCACCCACCGTAGCGATGGGACGAATATCCATCCTCTCGTTGGGAGGGTGTTGTAAGCGTTGTGCGTGTTGGCAACTTAAAATCCTGTAACTGTATTTTCCAGTTGTGCAGCTTGTGAGCTTGGTGGTGATGCCAGATATGGAGGTTATTCTCTAGATCAGTGGATGGAAGTTTTAAAACATTTGAACATTTTTAAGTTATTTTCAAGAAATCGATTGCTTGGTCTAAAGGGCAAACGCTGTAATGTTATATTCCTAGATGAAGGAGCGTTAGATAATCCTGGCGGCTGGATTTTTAACACTTTGCCACTTTCCGGCGATTCAATTTGTCACGATTTATTGAACCTTGTAGCGAAGGTAGCAGCTACTGGTGGTCGAAGGAGTTTCTATAAACCGGTACAGTGCACGTCACCTCGATAGAGAAACATTACTTCTTAAGTGCGTGCAGTTTAGTGAAATGTATCGCGAGCCTATTTAATCCATATGCCGTTTGCCCTCTAGACATACCTAAGTAAAGTTCACAGGTGGAAACTCAACTGTGCCCTGTGTTTTTTTTAAAGTGTAACCCCAACATTCGAGTTGTAATTCAGGGGGTCTGATCTCGGAGAAACCACTGGTCTAGCACCACACGTTTGGTTCCTGTTTGTATGTTGGAATTGTTTCATCCGTTAAGGGCAAAATAAAACTTTTGGAAAAAATGTGAAAGTGGCGTCTCTGAAATGTAATGGTTAATGTTACGGTTGTGCGAGTTCTCATGGGTTTATTGGCCATGCTTTAAAGTGTTAAGCTGTCTAGTTGGTGAACTTTGCACAGTGCTTTGCCACTTTACGATTGTGAGCAGTAGCACAGTGGTTAGCACACTGCTGTGAAACCGTGCAACCTCGGGTTCAAGTGCCAGCAACGGCTGTGCTCGAATCTCTTGTGTGCGTTCACACAGCCACGCGTTACAAAGACATCCATACATGATAACACTCGGTGACGTCAGCACGCCGCTTGTGCCAGGCTAGGTGCACCTTGAGGCCACACCACTCGCACAACACAAACCCATACTCTTTACACAGGCACGACAATGATCACCGCAGTTTTGGTTTTTATTGCGATCGTCATTTGAGCAACACAAATACGTTGATGCAATTTAGTGTTTTACGGGGGGGAGGGGGTGGGGAGGAATATATAGTTTGAGGTAAAGGCGCAGCCCTGGAAGTGCTTGCTCGTGCCACTGCTGCGAGAAGGGGTGGGGGGTCCACTCGAGGGAGCTCTGGAAGAGCGCTCCCGCTCTGGGATTGTGCGGTAAATGGTTTGACAGTCGCTCCAGCCGGCAGGCTTGCCAAGTGTTGGCGGTCGGCAGCTACAAATGTATCCGCTAAATAGGTAAGCTAGCTTCGGGAAGGTGGGAGGAGAGCGGGTTGGGGAGAGCGAGAGGCCGTTGCTTAGCAGTGGGTAAGGTGACGTGTAGGGGTGCGTTGATGGATGAAGAATGCCGGTGGGAGACTCTGTCGTAGCTGTGTCCTGCAGGCAGGGCAGGCGTGGTGGAGTTGTTTAGGGGTTGCCCCAGTTGGTCCACGTCTTGATTTCGTTGTAGAGGGCGTCCCCGGGGCAGCTGGTGGAGCCCACTTGACGGTGCCCGATGAGGCGGTAGCTGCTCTTCAGCTTGCCCTTGTTGATGGCGCAGGTGATCAGCGCCTTGGCCGCTGTGATGGCCGACGCCACGGGCTTGGAGGCTGTGCAGCGTGGAGCGCACGTGGCAAGGGTCATCGTCATCATCGTCATCGACACCGTGACCAACATTACCGTCGTCATCGGCGTGGTCGCCGTGCAGAATGCAAGCAGCCCAAAATAAATACATAACCTGAACATCCGCCGACACGTCCTATTTGCGTGTGTGTATACGTTGGACTTCTTTCGCGCCGTACCTAACCAAACCGGACTAATTGGAGGTGCGGGGGGGGGGGGAGACAACAAACTAGACGCACAAAGAAGCTGATGGCCATTATCATGTGATCGGGTGTTAAAGTGGCGAGGTGGGCAGGTGATTGGAGCAGATGCCCAGGTGTGCCTAGGTGTGCCCAGGTGAACTCACAGGTGTGCCCAGGTGTGCCCAGGTGAACTCACAGATGTGCCCAGGTGAACTCCTAGGTGTGCCCAGGTGTGCCCAGGTGTGCCCAGGTAAACTCACAGGTGTGCCCAGGTGAGCCCAGGTCAGCCTAGGTGTGACCAGGTGTGCCCAGGTGAGCCCAGGTGAGCCTAGGTGTGCCCAGGTGAACTCCCAGGTGAACTCCCAGGTGTGCCCAGGTGTGCCCAGGTGAACTCACAGGTGAAGTCTCCGATGAAGCTGGCCGCCAGGTGGGTGTTGTAGCCACTCGTGTGCGCGCCCTGGCGGTCCCAGCCGCGACCCTCGTACACATTACCATCGCCTCCCACCAGGAAACTGGGGGGGGCACGGGGGGGTAACAAGGGGGGGCACGGGGGACAACGGGTGGGGGCACGGGGGAACAACAGGGGGGACGCGCAGAGACAAGGGGACGTGAGGATACAGGGGCTATGCAAGTTGTTCGTGGGTTCGACCCCGACCCTGACGCCTGCTGCTGTATATTTGGAGTTTGTGTCTCTCTCTCCCCGTGGTCGCGTGGATTTTTCCCTGAATCAACATATCTCTTACGAGTATTTGGCTGTTTATAAATGTCCACGTGATAAGCCACTTCGTTGAGTATCATTTGTATCACGTCATTTATATCGCTGAAAAAGAGCGATGTCGCTCAGTGGGCGTTACCTGGTTAAATAAAAAATAAATCGTTTTCTTGATACTTGATTTGGAGCTTTCGTGACTGCAGAAATTACTCTATGGTTCTTTCGGTAAAGTCACGTAGAAAGAAAAAAGAAATTAAATATAATAATTAAATTATTTAGAAAAAATTCTACGTGACTTTACCGAAAGAACCAAAGAATAGTTTTCTTGATAATTTAGTTTTACCGTAAATTTTAGCACGTCAGCGACGCAGATTGCGTGCGTGTCGACGCTTCTGAAAATAAGCTCATACCTCTGGGCTTTACCTGGTAAGATAAAAAAATTGTTGATTTTCATGTTATATTTGTAAGTGCTTTGGTTACCTTTCCGATACTTTGCCCTCTTATCGTATTTTTTGTATAGTTTGTTTTTCATTTTCTGACCAGCCCTAACTGGACATCTGTGAATTAAAGAGCTTCATAGCCCATCGGATTCCTCCAGTATAAATACAGATTCTGAGACCTCGCAACTCTCACATCTACCTCAGGGGCCGTCCATAAATGACGTCACGCACCTGGGGGGGGGGTCAGACATTTGTGACGATGTGTGACGAGGGGGGGGGGGGGTTGAGAAATGTGACGTCACATCAAAATGCGCAACTTTCAATAAATATAACAACACGTTCTACTTAATTAAATAGACTTTTTAATAAATGTTTTCTCCTACAACATCAGAGTGCAGCGCCACATTAAATACGCACTACAATGACAATAGTTTAAAGCGATTTGAAGCATGTTTCATTTTGGGGGGGGGGGGGGCAGAGCTTTGTGACGTCATATTTGAGAGGGGGATCCTGAGGTGTGGACTCGAGTCATGTGACTTGGACTCGAGTCAGACTCGAGTCATGAATTTGATGACTTCAGACTCGACTTGGACTTGCATAACAATGACTTTGTCCCACCTCTGAGGTGTGGACTCGAGTCATGTGACTTGGACTCGAGTCAGACTCGAGTCATGAATTTGATGACTTCAGACTCGACTTGGACTTGCATAACAATGACTTTGTCCCACCTCTGGGGGGATCTAACATTTTGTGATTTCGTGTGACGAAGGGGGGGGGGGGTCAAAAATCGTCCAAAATCGCGTGACGTCATTTATGGACGACCCCTTACCCATAGCTCACACCTCTGGTGGAGAGGGGGGACCCTCTCGCCTCCAACTCACCTGTATCCAATGTCGGACCACCCGTTCGAGTCCATGTGGTAGTTCTGGATGCTGCGCACGCGCGCCGAGCACGCGGCCTCGTCGGAGCAGGTCGGGGTGGCGGTGTGGTGGATGATGAAGTAATACACGGGCACCGTCATGTAGGTGATGCCGTTGGGGGAGCGGGCCCCCCACCCTGAGCGCGACACGATGCGCGGGCACGCTGCGCACAAAAAAGACAAAGATCCCCCGTGTAGCCTTAAGCAGACTGTTGGGGCAGGTGCTGTTAGCGAGCACCTATGAAGGCCGGGAAGGCACACGAGGGGGTGGGTGGCCAGCACCACGCAAGGCCGCCTTTGTCTCCCTAGTGGCGATGTTTAAACAGCGGAGCAACAGGTGCTCTCATTTGAGGCAGAATCCCCAAAAATCGACACTCGAGTTTATACCCACGTGTACAAACACGTGTGCACGTGAGTACACACACACACGTGTGCACGTGAGTACACACACACGTGGGTACGTGAGTACACACACACGTGCACACGCAAGTACACACACACGTGTGCACGTGAGTACACACACGTGGGTACGTGTGTACACACACACGTGGACACGTGAGTACACACACACGTGTGCACGTGAGTACACACACACGTGGGTACGCGAGTACACACACGTGGATACGTGAGTACACACACACGTGTGCACGTGAGTACACACACACGTGGACACGCGAGTACACACACACGTGGACACGCGAGTACACACACACGTGGGTACGTGAGTACACACACACGTGTGCACGTGTGTACACACACACGTGCACACGCGAGTACACACACGTGGGTACGTGAGTACACACACGTGTGCACGTGAGTACACACACACGTGGGTACGCGAGTACACACACGTGGATACGTGAGTACACACACACGTGTGCACGTGAATACACACACACGTGTGCACGTGAGTACACACACACGTGGGTACGCGAGTACACACACGTGGATACGTGAGTACACACACACGTGGGCACGTGAGTACACACACACGTGTGCACGTGTGTACACACACACGTGGGCACGCGAGTACACACACGTGGACACGTGAGTACACACACACGTGGGCACGTGAGTACACACACATGTGGACACGCACACACACGCGTGTGCATATCCGAATCATTTCAGAATATTTATACTGGAGGAATCCGATGAGCTATAAAGCTCTTTTTTGCAGATGTCTAGTCGTAGATATCGAGGTGTACACATTAAAATTAATCCCTGCCTTAAAAGAATTTAGAAGTTGCAGGCGGGGTCTGAATGACACCTTTCAACAAAGCGGGGGGCTGCGGGAGGTGGGGGGCTCAGCCCCCTACAGCCTCCCACAGCCCCCCACAGCCCCAGCCAGCCACCCACGACGCCACGGGGCTTCTCGAACACTCACCATCGATGAAGGGCAACAGAGCGAGCAGAAGAAGGAACTTCATGGCTGCGGGAAAAACTCGTACCACCTTCCTGGGGAAGACTCAGGTGCCAGTGAGATGGGCTCCATCCTTTTATACAAACCCCCCTGAGTCGCCTCGACCTTGTGCCGAGTCGCAGCGTCACGTACGCCGGGCACCATCGTGAGAAGAACCCCATCGATTTCCCGACACGGCGAGCTGATGTTTTTTTGATGGCCGTTGGAGCTTCCCATGACCCCTTCCCCGCCCCCTTCTCGGTCAATGACCCTCCCTTTTGAATTGAGGTATTTTCAGGTGAAGGTCAGACACGTACGCAGGCTTAAGTTCGAGATGAGCCCTGGTGTCTTATAGTTTTATTTTGTGTGAGGAACTTCATTCATGTTGTCAAACGTATTCAATTCCTTCCCTCGACTGTTTTAAATACCGCCCATACCTGATGCCAAGCACTTCACCGATGTTCGCCTTATTATCATCGTCATCAGCATCATCATCAGCTATGGTAAATTCCCTGCCGGATGAAGGCCTTCCCCAAAGCTGTCATGCCATCTCACGGTGCCGTGATGCAGCGATATGTACAGCGAACATCTAAACCTGGCGCCTGTGTTGATATTATTTCAGAGCCTTCCCCACGTTTGCCTGCCACTCCGTCCTTAGTCTCGTCCACCGGTCGTCATCCTCATCATCATCCCTTTCAGCGACTTGACCCTGCCAAGCTCCATTATACTTTCCTGGCCAGTCACAGGTGGGGGAGGGTCCAGGGCCCGAGGCAAATCCCACCATGTGGGTTCCCCGACGCCTTCAAACTAAACCGGGAGTATTATATCTGACACCGTGACCTTAAAGCGGCGCCCCCCCCCCCCCCCCCATGCGCGGGGCCCGGGGCAGTCGCCCCGACCCGCCGTACCCGACGGCTCCGTAACTTGCGTTTGTTCGCTACTCAACGTGTTCCGCTTTGTCGTCGATCTGCGTAATTCCAAGCAGGATTATTTAATGCAACGTTCCGCTTACGTTCCGTGTTTATGATCCACGCGTTACAGCAGATATTCCACACCGACGGAAATCATTCCGCACCGAGGGACATCCTTTCGTTGCTCTTGGGAAGTCGACTGCTGTGAGGGCAGAATTTCAGCAGCATTGGTTCAACACAAGCGAAGCTCAAGTGAGAATATACTAATATGGGTTTTCCCCTTTTTTCTGGCAACGAAACTGACACCTTTTGCAAGGAATCGTGTTTGCATTAACCACAATACTTGCAGTCAAATGCAAACAAAAACCAATACTCTGATAATGTATGCATTGTCCTTGAAACTGATTGGTCCACACCAGAGACAGCTTTTCTTAGAGCCTATAGTCTCATATGGTGTTATAAACTCAAGTGAGAAGTTAAGTTTGCATGTCGTGGTCGCGTGGATTTTTTCTCCAGGACCTCCGGGTTTTCCCTCCACATTTAGAATCAACACGCGTTTAGAGTATTTGACTGCTATACATTTCCACGTGATAAGCCACTTTGTTGAGCTCTCATTTATGGCCGGGTCGCTTCTGAAAAAAGAGCTATCTAGCTCGGTGGGCTTTACCTGGTATAATAAAACGTTTTTTTAAAGTATATTTTTAGTGATTAGCTTACCTTTCCTATACTTTGCACTCCGATCGTTGTTTTTCATAGTTTGTTGTAACTTTCTGATCCGCCCCTACTGGACATCTATTTAAAAAAGAGCTTCATAGCTCATCGGATTTCTCCAGGATAAATAGAGATTCTGATTCTGGATGAAGGAGGCTTTGATTGTAACTGTTTGGTACTGATGCTGCTGCTGCTGCGTTAGCAGTGGTGCCAGAACAACACCAAAGACCTGAACACGCTCGTCACCAACAACACGGCCTGCGTGCGTGCGGCCTTGAAAGGACAAATATAATAGGCGACGTTTCGGCCAATGACCATTCTTCATAGCACATAGAGAGGTACTGCGAAGAAGAGCCATTGCCCAGTGTTGTTGACCGTCTAGTTCGTTGTAGGCACGGTTGGATACGTACAGTGAAAAATTATCTTCTTGGTTCTTTCGGTAAAGTCACGTAGAAGGGAAGTAATACAATAATAAAAATAAAACATAATAAAATTATTCATCTTCTTGGTTATTTCGGTAAAACATAATAACATAATTATTGTATTATGTTTTATTTTTATTATTATTTTATGACTTCCCTTCTACGTGACTTTACCGAAAGAACCAAGAAGATGAATCCCTGCAGACACGAAAGCTTTAAATCGGTGCAAAATAAGTTCACTATACGTGCACCGTACAAGTTGGATGTAACTCATGACTCTAGACCTTCCCCACTCCGAGGCGCTGACCTAGACCAGCGGGTTTCAACCTTTCTTTGGCTACTGGTGTAGCTACACCTATCAAAACACTCGGTTTCAAACCCGCATTCTTGTCCAGGGAAATTGAGTTTTCAGCTCCATATGGCGTACAGCCGTTTCAATACGCGCAGCAACAAACCCATGTCAATTTGTTTGTGTTTCTCCCTTGTGATGGGACTTTGTAGGATTAACGTTGATATCTATAAGGGGCACAGGGTGACCAGTAATGTGTGAATTGGTCTGTAATCAGGTAGGCAGCACTGATAAGGGGTTGACAGGCATGTGTACCACTCGTTGAATGTTGTAACCCCCTTGCCTGACCCAACGTGGTTCTGAGAAACAAATGTTGTGAACAAACAAATGTGAACACTTGAACCCAATTTGGCCATTTTTTAATCCTTTATATTAAGTTAGCTTGCTTGCGCGCTTACGATCGTGCAAATCTTTCGGTCGTTTTTTAACCCACTTCCCGTGATCCAATCGAGCTGACATTTTGCACACAGACTCGTTGTGCGAGACAATTAATGTTCGTGAAAATTTTTTTTCCAAAATTTTACACTGTTTAGGGAAAACGAATTAAATATTTTATTACCAATTGCTTAATACTGGCAGACAATCATCTGACCCATAGGTGGCAGCCATCTCAAGCCAGAGGACGAGAGGACTCTAGCCGCCACGCATATAAAGGATTTATATTGAAAAACTTTGTTTTTACGGGTTAATTTTTTCTGATCGAAATGCAAGAAATCCAACAGGGCGAGCAAATAAATAAATAAATAACCGCGGGCCCCCACCGCGTCATCGCTGTGCGGCAACGTCACAGCCGCTTCGAGGCTGACGTCACGTTGCTAGGGGAAACGAAGTGGAGGGGGGGGGTGCGAGGAGTGGGGGTCGTGGGAGGAGAGAGAGACTCCCGTCTCCCAGCATGCACCGCGGCCAAGTTGCCCTTAGAGACAAGGACTGGGTCAGGGTAACGGGGGGGGGGGGAGAGAGGGGCGTATCCGGCGGCCATCTTCCCACGGGAGATACCTCTGCAAAACCAATGGGGTGACGTCACCGAGCGGCGACATGGTCACGCCCCCCTACCGCGTGGGGTTGCCGCGAGGTGGCGCCGCGGTTGTTGGTGTCCCGTAGCAAGATGGCCGTCGCCTAGGCGCACGATGCCGCGGCGCGCCCCCGGAGTGGTTCGGAGTGCAAAACAGTCCACGCTTGCCCAGGCGGCGACGCCGGCCATGTCGAGGTGAAGGAGGGTGAGCAGACGGGGCGAGGAGAAGGAGTGGGGACGACGAGGGGACGGGACGAGCAGGTGCTGAGTAGGTGATTGTGGTTGTTGTGGTGGTGATGGGAGCGATGTGGTTGATTTGGTGGTGGTGGTGGTGGTGGCGGTGGTCGTGGCGGTGATGGACGTGATTTTGATCACCGTGGGAGTTACGTGATGGTGTTGGTTGGTTGGTGATGGTGGTGATGCTCGTGATTTGCGGTGATGGTGGAGGAGACGCGTTTGTGATGGCGATGATGTGATGTGATGAAAGTTGTATTTCTCCAGGTGGAGATGATTGCCGACAGCAGTGATGGTAGGAAAGTGAATATGGTGGCGATAGTCACATCGTACAGGCGGTGGCGATGATGCCTGATGGCACTGATTGCTGCGCTGATGGAAGCGATGGTGGTGGCTGTGGTCGTGATTTCATGATCGCGGTGATGGTGGTGGGGTGCTGATGATGATGATGATGGTGACAGTGATGTGGGCGATGGTGCTTACGTGAAGGTGATGGTCCGGCTGGTGGGTATGATGGTGATGGCCGTGATTTCTACGGTCATGGTTTTGTGATGGTAATGATGGTACTGGCCACTGTGTAGGTAATGGCAAGGGCGTTGATGGTCATGGCGGTGATAATGATACCCTTTCAACTCGTAGAACACCCCACTCACTGTACGTTGTGTGCGTTTTTGCGTCGTGTTGGTAATGCACGCTCTGAATTACACTCCGATGCCTGAATTAAAACACGTGGATTAGATGCGTAATCCCGTGCCGCATTGAACCGTGAGCTCGGACAGGCCACATGGCAAACAGAGATTGAGGCCATTCGTTGAGGCGGAGTGGCCCAAAAGGACATCGACCGAGGAGATGAGGGATGATAACCCCATGGTTGACGATGATGGTGATGGGTTAGATCATAGCAAGCCAGGAGAAAGGGTCGGGGGGAGGATGGGGCATGTTACGACTTGTCCTAAACAAAATCGTGACAATCCTGAACACACCGTTCCGTTACAACACAAGTTTTGAACATTATGTAAGCGGCATGTCTGTACGGTCAATTAAACCCCCACTACCCACAAGGCCGAGTTATAAGTCCTCGCTCAGCAGCGGATTAACAGGCGTGCATGTTTGTTAATGGGTTATCATATTGCGTCGGTCAATAGAGCCGAGTTAAATGGCACGTGCCAAAAGTACTTAAAGCCGTAATCCTTTACGAGCAGTCCATTACATAGGGATATCGCAGTCCATTAAGTAATTCGCGTGTTTTAGATTAACCACAATGGCTATATAGTTAGGGGTGTACACATGCACCTATTGTACAAATTTGACTTGTGCTGGGTGAGGTCATTATTATTCACGATATCTTAAAGGTCCAACGCGCTCAGCACCATTCCCTATGTCATTACTATCACCCATGGTCAACCACCATCACAGTCATCACACCATCTCCTGAAAACCATTATCAGCGCCACCGCAGCCATCACTATTATCACCTTCATCAACCCCCAACCACGACCACAACCATCATCGCCTCGGCAATGATCACAGCCACCGCCATACCCACGGCCCCCCCATCTACCACGACCAGTATCACCAACATCTCCACTGCCACCATTTCTGCTGGGGTCGCTACTGTGCATTGCGCCATTGTGACACTTCACATGGAGGGCGTCTTGGTGATGGAATGCGGGCACGCGTGTAACCACACACACACGAGTTTGCGAGCACATATTACCCATATCAACCACACTATTTGTACCGAGAGGGAGCGCCCTTGCCAAGAACATCTGCTAACCCAGCAGTGTTTGTTAACGAGCCTCAGCTGCTGCTGAGAGACAAGAGGTTGGAGTAAATCAACCCAAAGGTCACTTGCTTAAACACAACCCAATAGGCTAATAGACTTGACAAATATTTATTTTCATGGGTGAGGTTAAAGTATGTTTATTTATTTAAGCCTCGTAGCAGGGAGCAGTGCATTAGAACCCATTATTCTACTGTACTGTACTCTCTGCCTTTTCCGACCCACACTGACCAACATAGTGAAGTATGGTCAAACAGTGACTTTTATAGGCAGCTTCATCTATACAGAAGGGTACTCTGAGTGCAGTACGTCGGCAAGTAATTGCTTTACCCTCTTTTAAACGTTTGGAAGTGGTTTGGATGTGGGCGCTTGCCACTCAGTGCAACAGTTACACCCATTCCACTGGATCCCCTTTTCAATTCTGTGACTTTTAAAATCGAGGCCGAAATCGTTTATCGAAAACTCGACAATTGTTTGACAGCCCTACTAGCATGAGAACCCCCATGCGTGTTGTTTATTCCCTCTGTAACCCGCCTGTATCTTCTTTGTAACCCTCCTGCCCTCTCCTTCCACCCTTTACAGGGAGAGGCCTCCACCACTCCCAGCGTCACGAGGGCCCTTCGCCATGGGTCCCGTGATGCCGCCGGTCAAGAAGTCGACCCTCACGACCTTCCCGTTGGGGCGCCACCTCGCCCCCGGCAGCCAGTCCCCGCCGCGCGCCACTCGCCTCTCCCTCGGCGCCAACTTTGGCGTCTTCTGCCTGAATGCCACCGCCGCGGCCGCCACCGTGCCGCGGCCGCTCAGCCGGCGTCGCCCCTCGCAGCAGCAGCACCACCAGCAGCCGGCGGTGCGGAAGCGCTGGGCCATCGGCGCCGACGGGGACGACCTGACGAGCTTGCAGTGGCTGCACGAAGACCCCTGCCTGCTCCACGGCCTGGGACTCGGGGCGCAGCCACGCGCCGACCCGTGCCTCTCGGACGGCAAGCTCGGAGCGAGCGGGTCGTCGTCGGGCGGCGACGGCGGAAGGTTCGCCGGCGGCCATGCGTTTGGCGCCGCCGCCAAGGGATGTCCGGGCGACGGGGCACTGCTGCTGCAGCCGCTGTCGGGCGAGGACAAGCCACCGTACTCTTTCAGCTGCCTCATCTTCCTGGCGATGGAGGAGGCGCCCGGCAAGCGGCTTCCCGTGCACAGCATCTACGAGTGGATCGCCGCGCGCTTCCCCTACTTCGCCCGCGCGCCCGACGGCTGGAAGAACTCGATAAGGCACAACCTGTCGCTCAACAAGTGCTTCCGCAAGGCCGATCGGGGGAAGGTGATGACGTTTGTTTGAATAAAATGAACGTGTATGTAACAAATCTCTTTAACCAACTCTGTACGTTGACGACGGGAAAAGGGCGGAGACTAGGAGACAAATGAAAAGGGGAGGGGGCAAACCAACAGCAAAGCAAATGCGAGGTGCACAGCGATGACGACTAATTTTGCAAATTAACTCTATCGTAAATAACATTTCTAGATTTGAAGCTTTCGTGACTGCAAGGATTCATACTCTTAGTTCTTTCGGTAAAGTCACCATGTAGGTAAAAAATGAAATAAAAATTAATAAAAATAAAACAATAAAAATCACGACGTTTCGGAGGCAACACAAGTCTCCGTCATCAGGTGGGACCGTCACAGCCAGTTTTGCTGCATCAAGTGAGGGAGGGATTCAAGGTACTTAAGAGCTTACACCTTGAATCCCTCCCTCACTTGATGCAGCAAATCTGCCTGTGACTGTCCCACCTGATGATGGAGACTTGTGTTGCCTCCGAAACATCGTGACTTTTATTGTTTTATTTTTATTAATTTCATTTTTTACCTACGTGACTTTACCGAAAGAACTAAGAGTACATAAATAACATCTCCGCTAACTAACCGACTTTACCCCCCTCCCCCCCCACCACTGCATCGCAGGACCCCGGCAAGGGCTCCCTGTGGGGGGTGCAGCCCGAGTACCGACCCGTGCTGCTCGACGCACTGAGGAGGACGGGCTACTGGACGCGCTCGCTGACGGACAAACCCTCGTCACCCTCGTCGCCGTCGTCACCGTCGCCGTCGTCGCCACCGCTGCCGGTGCTGCAGCCGGTGCCCCTCTCGCCGCGCCGATCTCGGCACGCGCCGCGGCACGGCTGGTCGGCGTTCGCCCTGCGCAGGTACCTCCTGCTTGCTGCTCGACGGCCGTCACGGCGTCGTTGTGAAGCCGTTGATCGGCGTCGTGACCTCCGATTAGCATGGTTGGCGACGTATGGTGCGAAAGAAGTTGAATATGCGTGACGTCACCGTGTTTCGGCTGATGTGATGTGTGATAACAATGTCATCGTTGTGCCTGTTGATGTCATTGAGGTGTCGTTATGAAGCCACTGGTATGCTTGTATGTACGTTGAACTTCTTTCACACGTTAATCGGTGTGGGGGAAGGACAACACAAAAAGCAGTTCTAAAGAAATATGAAAATGCTTTGTATGATTTGCAACGGTAGCAATCAAAATGAGTCCTAGGACTCTTAGTCGGAGGGGGGGTTCCTGCTTTGCGTGTTGTTTGGCCGATTCCACGCCGTTAACGTTGGATGACCACGCCTCGTTTCGTCCCGCAGTTCCTCGTCGCTCGTGCGCGCCCACCGGAGCCTCTCCAGCTTCCACGGTGAGCGTCGCATTGTGGGGCCTCTTCGGACCCTCCTGCCGCTGACCGGCTCCGCGCTACAGGAGGCTCCCGCGCTCGGGTTCCCATCGGGAGTGCATTCTGTGGCTTGTGGCTTGGTGGGCGAGCTGGATGGGTGTATGGATAGTGTCTAGTGGGGAACGGTGGCGCAGTGGTTAGGGCGCTGCGCTACAAACCCGGTCAACCGTGTTCGATTTCCGCTCGCGGCCAACAACAGTGACGATTATTTTAACCGATCCTGTGCCTCCCTTTGGTCGACTCTGCTTCAAATGAGTACCCGAGACAAATGCGGCTGGGCGTGGTGCTGGCCACCCACCCCCTCGTGTGCCATTCCAGCTTTCATAGGTGCTCGCGAACAGCACTTGCCCCAACAGTCTTCAAGCTATAAGGGGGATCTTTGTCTTTGGATAGTGTCTAGCAGCTACTTGGCTGTTTGTTTAAGGCTAGGACTGGCGTTTGATTGGCTAGTCAGAGTTGGGGGTTGAGCTAGTATGAGTGGCGAGTGTTAAGGCTTGTACTAGCCATTAGTATTCACCTTAGCCTTAACTCTTAACTAGCTAAACAGGCTCAGGGCCGATACTAGCAGCTGGTTGGCTAGAATTTGGGGTAGGGCTCACATTGATTGGGTAGTCGGCTAGGGATAGGTGTAGAGCTTCTTCTTCTTTAGTGCTGCCTAACGGCGTGTGCGACTTCACGATGATATTGGTCCCGGTCTAGCACGGCGTGTAGAGTTTGTGCTGCTGTTGTTAATTGTAGCCATGTTTTGATGTTACTGAGCCATGTCGTTTTTGGCCGTCCTGGTCGTTTTTTCCCTTCGATTTTTCCTTCCAGGATTTGCTTTAATAGCTGGTATTTGTGGTCGTTTCGGGCAATGTGGCCTAGGTAGTAACACTTCCTGCTAATGATGGTCTTCAGCAGTTGCCTGTCAGTGCCCATATCTTGCACAACTTGTGTGTTGGTGGTTTTGGCTGTCCATGGGATTTTCAGCATTCTTCGATACAGCCACATCTCGAAAGCTTCGAGCCTTTTTGTTGCTGTTGTTGTCAATGTCCACGTCTCTACTCCGTACAGTAAAATTGACCAGATGTAGCATTTCAGTGTGCGCAGTTTCAGTGATGTACTCAAGTTGCGGTCTGCAAGGAGTGTTTTCCATTTAATAAATGCTTGCCTTGCTTGTTCAATTCTGCTCTTGATTTCGACTTCATGGTTCAACTGATCGTCAATGATTACACCAAGGTATTTAAATCGGTGTACTTTTTCTAATTTTTCGCTGCCAAGCTTGATTGTTATTTCGCTTGTAGTTCGGCTGACCTTCATAACCTTTGTTTTCTTTTTATTAATTCGTAAGCCCCATATTTGACTCTCTGTGGCAACCTCGTCCAGGATTTGTTGTAGGTCTTGTTCCGAATCGGCCAGCAGTGCAGTGTCGTCGGCATACCTGATGTTGTTGATGTATTGTCCATTGACTTTAATACCAATGTTTTTATCTGCTAGTGTTCGATCAAAAATCTGCTCCGAGTAGATGTTGAAAAGACTGGGTGAAAGTGGGCAGCCTTGTCGTACACCTTTTTGTATTGGTGTTGGGTCTGTCAATTCGTTGTCATATCGGAGTTGGGCTGTTTGCTTCCAATAAAGAGCAATGATGAAGTTGATGTCGTTTTTATCTAGTCCCAGTTGTTTTAATAGAGCTGCTAGTCGGTCGTGGTCGACTGAGTCAAAGGCTTTCTCGTAATCTATGAAGCAGATGTACACTTCTTTCTGATGTTCGTAGCATCGCTGTAGTAGTATCTGTAGACAGAAGATTGCTTCTCTTGTGCCTAGTCCTTTGCAGAAGCCAAACTGTGTGTTCTTCAATGCATTTTCGCATGTGGAGCGTATGCGCTGTTGGATCACCTTCAGGAAGACTTTCAGCACGTGGCTCATCAAGCTTATCAGTCTGTAGTCCTCGCATTTCCGGCTTGTTGCTTTCTTTGGTATGGCCACAAAAATGGATTGTAGCCAGTCGGATGGAATTTTATTGCCAATGTATATTTGATTGTACCAATTAGTCAGTTGTCGTATGTTGTTGCTGTCTAATAGTTTGAGCAATTCTACATGGATTGTGTCGGTGTAGAGCTAGCATTTCATAAGCTAGTCAGCTCGGGTTAGGGTTAGGTCTGAGCTTAGTTGGCCGTTTAACTCCGGTGACTGGTACCAGCAGTGTCAAGATCGGCCTCTGAGGAGGAGGTTAATGAAGGACGCTGCTGGGCAGTTGGATGCAGTTGCCCTCCAGCAATAGCTGAGGACAGAGGAGCGACGCTCACAACGAGCAGAGCGCTGGACGGCTAGGTGGTGCATCTGCCAGTCATCTCTGTCAATCCATGGGACCCGACTGTTCCATGACCTGTCAGCAGTGAGCCTTTGACACTTCACGTTGCCTCGAGGTGCACCTAGCCTGGCACAATTGCCGTGGCGACGTCACCGACGCTTGGTGGCGAACGATTTTGTTTTTTGTTGTTGTCGTTGTTTAACTCCACCCCCAAACCCCACTTCCCCACTGCCGCTTGGTGGTGCATTCTCCCTCTCCGTGTTCCCTGCCGCCGATGCTAACGGCGCCACCGCCTCTCTTCTCCTTTCCAGCTGCCGATCGGCGCTCCTCGATGGTCGTGAAGTCGCTGCACGGCACTGGGCCGTGGAGAGGTAGCGTCCCTCCTATCTTTGATTCCTCCTGGTTGGAGTTAGATTGTTTATGATTATTATTATAAAAGAAAAGGCAATATATCGTGCTGCTGCCGTGCAGTAATTGCGAACGCGGAAGGACTTGCAATCCGGAGATCTTCAGTTTTGTCCCAATGCGGCAGTTGAAATAACGAATTGTCGATTTTGTTTGGTTTTATGTATTTATGTTGAACTCTTTTCGCATCGTACGTAGCCAACTGAGCTAATCAGAGGTGTGGCAGTAGTACAGCAAACTAAACACAAAAAGTAGTTTTAAAGAAATTATTTTTTTGTAATCCCACTCTTTTGTCTACGCGGCAACCTGATTGATTTCGTGGCATAGTATATTTTTACCGGGTTTCACCTTGTCTTGAGTATCATCAGCAGAGTGCTGTCCCTTAGACGAAGACTGCTGGATTTTCCAATGTTACAGGCAATAGCCGATAACAAACATGGTTGGGCCCAGTAGGGGGTGGGGAGTTAAACAATTATAAATACCTAAATTTTGATTTAAAGCTTTCGTGACTGCAGGGATTCATATTCTTGGTTCTTTCGGTAAAGTCACGTAGAAGGGAAAGAATAAAATAATAAAAATATAAAACAATAAAAATTCTCACGACGTTTCGACTGCAACACAAGCAACACAAAAATCCACAGCAAGAAAATGTTCTTGCTGTGGATTTCACACCTGATGATGATTGCTTGTGTTGCAGTCGAAACGTCGTGAGAATTTTTATTGTTTTATATTTGTATTATTTTATTATTTCCCTTTTACGTGACTTTACCGAAAGAACCGATAATATAAATACCTATTCAAACTGCATTGTTTATTTAAAACCTGACAGTGCATTGAGACTTAAACATCTCTCTTTTCTACACAAACACACAGACCCTAGTGTGTGTGTTTAATTATAGATTAAGAACTAATTAATAACAACGTTCCGTATCTTTGCGGGAGTGCTGGTGAATCTCACCAGTTGCCCGTGCGGTCTGGCCAAATGGACGACGCTCACACGCGACTCGTGTTTTTTGCCGGAACACCAGGCTCCAGACTCGACTGCGCCGACACCGTCAAGCCGTGCCCGAGAAGCCGGGGCCCGTGGTGTCGCCCTGCCACCGCCACCGCACCGGCGCTTCAGCCGCTCGCCGAGGGCGGCGTGGCGGAGAGTGAGCGCCGTTCGGAGGCGTACATGCGCCTCGTGCGCGGCAGGGATTCCAAACTCTACCTGAAGCGCGGCCAGGGCCCGTGGCCCTCTCGGCGCCACCCGCCGGCCGCCGGTGATGAAATCGGCGAAGCGTGCGGCCCAGTTGCCGGTGGTGCGAGCGGTACCGGGAGCGGCGACACAAGTGACGCCGGCGGCATGGGGAAGGCGGATGTAAAACCCGCAGCGACGATCGGTGGGAGCGCCGCCGTTGTTGCCACAGAGGCGGTGAAACCGGCGGTGAAACCGGAACCGGAAGCCGTGGGCGACAGTGGTGGTAACGCCGTCGACGGCGCCGGGGTAGAAGCGGAACACCCGAGCACCGGTGTCGGGACGGTCCCGAGCGACGACACGAGGAATCCCGGTGGCGGCGATAATAGTGCCGGGGTAGACGTGGCTGACGGTAGGAGCGTTGTCGTGGTCAGAAGCAGCGGCGGCGGCGGCGGCAGCATCCGTCGCGCCGGTTGCACTAACGCCCTCGCTGACCACAACTACGGGCTCTCCTGCCCGCCGCCAACACCACCACCGGCACCACCAGTGGTGCCGCTACAACCACCGGCGGCGCCAAGTGGCCATGTGCACCGCCAAACCCGGCGCGAGAAGCCTTCCGGCCGGCGCTGGAAGCGCGCGTGTCGCGAGGCAGTGAAGCGCGGCAGAGTCGGGCGTGAGGACGGCGAGGTGGAGCAGGAAGGGAGTGAGGGGGTAACGACGACATCGTCGTCGTCACGGCGCGGGCGGCATCGCAAGCGCAGGCGGGGGGACGAGCGGAGGGAAGAGCAGCAGCAGCTGAGCTGGGAGGCGCGGGTGGCCGGGGTGGATGAGGACGTGAGGGAGGCGGTGACGTCGTTGTTGTTCCTCGCCGGCATTGACGTGGGGCCCCTGTGGAGGCCGCCCGCCGGCGCGGCCGTGGCGCTGGGGGCGGTGGCGGTGGCGCCGGCGCGCCGCGGCACTGCCCAGCTCAGCTGACCACGGCGCTCAGTCGGTTTGACGGAGGAGGGACGCGATCACAAAGGAGAGATGAGCAAACGGCTCCCGTCATGCAAAGTTCACGCGCATTCGTTGAAAGTAGCGTTGGAAAAAAGTACAACATGTTTGAGATTACAATTACGTGTGTGCTGAGCAGAAAGACACACTTTGAGTCTGGGTTCTCGTCCACACGGTCAGCCGCTTTGTCAGTCCACCGCTGCGTCACCACGCCGTGCCGATCGTGGTGGGTTACTTGACCGTACTTCACCACGCTGGGCAGTGCTCGTTGGTGAAGTGGTGGGGTGGCCCAAAACGGGTTAGGATATATTGCTCGCCACGGATGTTAGCCATGGCCGGGTCACCACCGCGCACCATCCTAAGATCGACAACACCTACGGATTGGAAGTTTCATGAATGTTAGATCATTTGGTACGTGTCCAGTATTGTGGGAGCAAAGGATTCGATCAATCGATTTCTCGCTGCGTTGCAAGTAGCTACAAGATGAGAGCCGTACGTGATGTTTTTTTTTGGTTTGTGTTCATCAGCGTCGTTGGACCCCCGCGTCCGATTGCGTTTTCCCTCCGCTAAACGACGGAAACATTTTCTTCGCCGACGCAAACGCGGCTTTTTGTGGGGTCGCGCACGAGGCCGCAGGTGAGGGCGTGCGTCAGCGTTCGCAGACCATTGTGTGTGTTAAGTTATTGATTAATACCTAATTAATAACTGGGCGTGCCTCGTGGAGGAGGGGTTTTCTGCCTAAGGGAGCCAGGATGTGGGGGTGGTCGCTGTTTCTAAAAGGGCACCTAGTAGTCAAACGCTGCAGTAAAGTAGCCAAGTATAATTTGAAGTCGGTTAATCGACGTCCCAGCTCAACTGAAAACTCGCAAGTTGTCTTCCCTGCTACATTGCGAATGTGTGGAACGGTCCTGTGCCGGTCGTGGAAATTCCACATACCTATGGCCCCTGGCCAATAAGGGCGGATGCCGTAGACCTTCCGCAAAGACGGAGGTGCCTGTTTTTTATCCGCCAGAGAGAGATGGATGATGGGTAGTCGACCCTCACCCCCTCATTCCCACATCCCCCACTAACCGGGGATTCAAACCTTCCACTTGTTTTGAGAGTGGAACACTCTCACCGCTGCCCCACCTTGTTGCTATCATCGTGAAGCAACGATGCCTCGACTCTTTCACTCTCCGAGACGTCTGTAAGTTGCATGGTGGGTGCCCCTAGTTCACCGCTGAATCTCGGAACGCAGAAGCGTTTAGCGTTAATTTTCATTTAGAGAGGCGTAGCGCCGTTGTTTTTGAAGATATTGTTACTCACCGCAGAGAACCATTGCGACACAACCGCACTCTACGATAGCTGGCGCCAAACCGTGCTGCACACCCCGCGTGACCTTGTGTGTCTTCAAGTCTTCTGACCTGAAGACGTACCGATAACTTTATTTAACTTTTTCTTCCGATTCCTTTGCGATACTTTTTTCTTCCGATTCCTTCCCGATGACGTACGTGCACGATGACGTACACGTACGTCACCGGAATGGGAAAGGGTTAATTTCTGGGCACGGCCCACGACCGCCCCCACTTCCCACCCCCCCCGGTTGTACCCCTTCGCCTGCCTTGTTGTAGGACCACCCCCCCACATCGCTCGGCTGCTGTTGAAACTCTAATGGCTTCCGAGATGTTCGTTTCGCCCCAGAGTGTTCACCGGCACGTTCAGTATTGATCGCTCTCTCTCTCTCATTGGCAAGAGCGCACAAGTTGTGAATGCAGGGTGATTCCGCTTGCAGATACCCCACTAAAATAATCGGGAGAGATTCGTGGCCAAGAACAAGTTTTACTTCAAAGCCTCCGCACGTTTCCCGCCCATCTCCATTCTTCACGTTGGTAAATCGTCTAACAACTGTGTGAGATACGGAGCCATCACTTTCACAGTATTCAGTCGTCTTTGAGAAGAGAGTGAGGAGGGTCGTTATGAAGCCAATGGGCTATCTTTTTATTTATTGAGTTAAGTTTTCCCAACTTGTTTTTTTTGGTTAATCCTGATTGTGCTGTCGGTGTCGCGTCATCACGAGACGAAGAACCCTTCCTTATCGCTCCCGCAGAGTCGCCACCTATTCAGTGGGGTATCTATACATGTTAAGCCATAACGTTAAGTTTTACGTTGCTCATGGGTTGCTCGCACAGTCGTTAAATATCTCCTTAACGAGGCCGCAAGTTGCTCATTGCCTCCCGCGTACCCCTCCCCCACAACACTTTACCTGTGCCCCCTAGTTGGGACAGAGGCCCCCACCCCGTCCCCAGCTTCGCTGCTGCCAGCCACAGGGAGACTTCGCAGCTTCACATCGGCAGGAGCGGCAGCAGCGCGTTTCGTTTCCCCGTTCGTGTCGACTCCAGACGCGTTCTTGCCGCTTGAGTGCAGCGCGAGTCGCCGTCCGTCACGAGCGGCGGTCAGGTGACCCCCTCCCCCCCGCCCCACGTCGGCAGTGGTCGTCTTATCGCGTCCTGCCACCACAGTGGCAGGTTTTACGAGTATCGACGGCCCCGCGCTCTTTGCGATTCACCGCGGCGACACGTGCCGGTGGGGGGGGGGGTGATTAGGGTTAGGGCGATTGCCCTCTTTGCGTCAATGATCACGACGACGACGACGGCGGTGATCATGCGTGTCATAGTTTAGGACGAGGGGTGGGGAAGCTTTACGGCTGCCCGCGGGCGACACGATGAGGCCCACCAACCACTTCTTAACGGCAAGCGATGACGTCTTGGCCGCACTGATCGGGTACTACGGAGGGGGGGGGATGTTTTCGATGAACCTTACAACAACAACTTGTTTCTAATTTTGATGACGCTTGGTCACCTGTAAAGTTGTGAACCCTGGTTATTTCTCGTTATTTTTGGATAGTGCCGAGGTGCGTGCGTGCGGCAACCCGCCAACGGTATCCGAACGTCATAGCACAACACCGTGGCTCTCGTGGTGCGAGGCACCAGGGAGGCACCGCCCAGCGATCGGCATCGGAGCCATTGCACGCTCGCACGCGCGCACTTGTCGGAGTGGACAGTGCGGAGAGGCCGTTTGCATGGTACTGGCGGAGCTCGGTACGGATTGTAGACTCCTGGTTGAAGCCACACCAGCTTCGCTGGAGGCTGCTGGAGTAGTTCTCTCGTTGCCTTTTTGGACCCTGAGCCTTTTTGGAGTTGGGAGCGGGCAATATTGAAGGTCAATGTTAACCTGTGGTCCTTTAGTGGGGTCTATCCCCCCCCCCCCCTTTGATTGAGCACCCCTTCGTTGCGGATATTGGATTTGCAACGACGTGTTGTTAATACTGCGCTCTTGGCGGTCATGGTGAATATGGAGAATATTAAATATATATTTTGATTTTTGTTTTTTAAAACATATTTCTAGAGAGACAAAAAAATATATCAATTTGCATTTTAGAAAAGATTTTTTTTTCTAACTTTTGCAAAAAAAAGTGTTTGAGCTAACGCTGCCAAAACCGAGGCTTCCACGTGGGACAACGAGTGGAGTCTGACGCAATTGGCACAACGAACCCCTCCTCCCCAATTAAACCGTGACATCACTGCCTTATCTTGCCGATGCCACCTGTGAGGGGATGCAAACTCTGACCTGTTACCGCGGAGGCACGAGCGTTGGCTGCCTCCTCCCTCTGCCGTGAGACGGGGAGGCAGGGGTTGTGGGGGGGCTGGGTAGTCCGTTCGCGTGTACGGCTGCCAAACGTCGCCCCGGTGTGTTTCAGAAAGGGCCGGCTGTCCGTCTCGGTTGTGTGTCCCCCCCCCCCGCCCCCGAAGGTTTTTTTGCCGGCCAGATCGGTCGGTCGGACGGGGCATCGCGTCCCGTTGGAGGCCGCCCAGAAAGGTGGTCGCCTTGCGTCTGCGCCCCGTTAACACCGAAGACGTTGGCAGGTTTTTGGTTTCCCGCTGGACATGTCCCGGCTCGCTGATAGACTGGGAGTCGGTGGCGCGTGGCCGGGTAGTCTCGGCCAACCAAAGCGAGATGTATATTTGGATGCGGTGATCCGGGTGGCATTTAAGGCCTTGGACCGTCTGGGTTTCCCTCGGAGCTAGCCGGCGCGCTGGTTTGTTCTTTTTTGCATTAACGGACACTGCCGAGGAGATTTTATTTGTGGAAAACCGGTCGGGTTCTCGGTAAGGGGAGGGAAAATTACATTTAAAATGTTCTCTTAAAGTGTTAAAATTATGTTTGAACTATTGTTGTTGATAACGTTGGTAATAAAACTAAAGCTATATCTGTTAGTGGTTTTGTTGGGTGATTTTGTTGCTATAATAAGCATAGGAGTCAGAGGGGGGGGGGGGGGGTAGAGGCGCAGCCCTTGCAAGTGCTCGCTTACTCCACTGCGGGTGGAAAGGCGTCTACTAGAGGCAGCTGCGGAGAGCCCCACACTACCGGTTGGAGATGTCTTGGCAGAGGTGGAAGTTAGCCACATCTTACTCCCACCACTACTCCCACCACACGCCACCTGCCTGGAATACAGGAGGTTGTGGGTTCGATCCCGACCCCTGACGCCTCCTGTGTATTTGGAGTTTGGGTAATTTTAGAAACTTGCGCAATAGTTTGAACTTCCGCACCGGGAGACGGAATCGAACTCGCGACCTCCGGATTGCCAGTCACGTGTGGTGGCCATACTGGACATCTGTGAGGGGTGGGGGGGGGAAGAGCTTTATAGCTCATCGGATTCCTTCAGTATAAATAAACATGCAGACTCCGACTCTTTGCACGAGGATCCTGCTCCATCGGAACGTTTTGGCAATTCCGGTAAATGAGAGTTCTGCTTTTTTTTTTGGGGGGGGGGGGATGAAACCAAAGTACGTGTCCGGAGAAACCCCCACCACACACACGAGGGGGGGGGGGGGGTAACATGCCCCGCGGAACAGAAAGGTTCACAGTGAAGCATGGCAAGATAGCCGTGCGGCATCTTTGTCGTGCAATGCGCGCGGATTCATTCGTTGGTGGTGGCTGAGCGAGCGAGTGGCTGAGCGAGCGAGTGGCTGAGCGAGCGAGTGGCTGAGCGAGCGAGTGGCTGAGCGAACGAGTGGCTGAGCGAGCGAGTGGCTGAGCGAGCGAGTGGCTGAGCGAGCGAGTGGCTGAGCGAACGAGTGGCTGAGCGAGCAGGTGGCTGAGCGAACGAGTGGCTGAGCGAACGAGTGGCTGAGCGAACGAGTGGCTGAGCGAACGAGTGGCTGAGCGAACGAGTGGCTGAGCGAGCAGGTGGCTGAGCGAACGAATGGCTGAGCGAACGAGTGACTGAGCGAACGAGTGGCTGAGCGAGCGAGTGGCTGAGCGAGCGAGTGGCTGAGCGAACGAGTGACTGAGCGAGCGGGTGGCTGAGCGAGCGGGTGGCTGAGCGAACGAGTGGCTGAGCGAGCGGGTGGCTGAGCGGGTGGCTGAGCGAGCGGGTGGCTGAGCGAGTGACTTGCGGGCATCGTGGCTGCGTTTTTAAGCTCGTTTCAAGTCCACGATTCTTGAATTGATCACGCGCGCGCAAGCTCAGCAAAGCGGTGGTTTCGGCGAGTCAAGACGGTCACCAGTTCTGTTCGCCTTCAACTCTTCGCATCCCCCCCCACCCAGTTTCACGAACGCTTACCGCGACGTGAAAATGACTGGGAATGTTTAAATTACCGTAATCCGCGACTTCATTTGCGGGAGATCGCGAAGCAAGATCGCCCCCTGCCGCCGTGCGACGACTTTTAATGAAGGATGCCACAGCAGAGGTTTGTCAAGAGCATGTTGATCATGTGCTCGCACAACAACGACGACACTGCACGTGCGATGTTAGCAAATATCAAACGACGTTTGCAGTGTACAGCCCGAAGTCAATCCACTGCTGGATGAGGGCTTCCACCAGGCGGTGCTGAACGAGTGGTTGGCACACAGCACGATGAACCCAGCGGACCCGAGTTCGATTCCCATCTGAAGCGGTCCCGTGCCCCACCTCTCACGTCACCAAGTCGTATTGACCAGCATGGTGAAGTATGGTCAACCTTAATTTTGGAGCTTTCGTGACTGCAGGAATTATTCTTTGGTTCTTTCGGTAAAGTCACGTATAAAGATAAAATAATAAATTAAATAATAGCATACGACGTTTCGATTGCAACACAAGCAATCACCAGTTCCGTTCGCAACACAGGTACCTGTGTTGCACGCTCTATGTATCTTGGTGATATCTGTCTGCTTATATGTCTGTCTATAGTTTTCTGGTTAGATTTTATGTCGCTATTTCATTATACCTGATGATGATTGCTTGTGTTGCAATCGAAACGTCGTATGCTATTATTTAATTGATTATTTTATCTTTATACGTTACTTTACCGAAAGAACCAAAGAATATGGTCAAACTGACATGACATTGGGAGGCCTTCATCCAGCAGTGGGTCGACATGGCTTTGAATGTTCAATATATGATATTAAATGTTAATTACAAAAAAAACCTTGTTATCTAAGTCAACAGAACGCTATGAATTACAACACATCACTGCATCACATCGTACTCCATCGCAGTAAGAGGCAAGGGGGTCTGGGAGTAGGGGTCCCGGGGGTTAGGGAAGTAGGGATCTTTGGTTGACGGCGTTCTGCGCAAAAACCAGCGGCAGCTGAACCCCTTCAAGCAGGAACGACACGAAATCTGTACACCTGGACAGAGACACAAACACCACCACCATTGTCAACATCGCCACAAATGAACCACAATACCTTGTCAATCTCGTCACAAGGAGCAAACCATCATCACGGAAACCCCGGTCATCCTCGCCGTGGCGGCTTCTGGCTGGCCATCGAACAAAGACGGTCACCGCATCGAGTGCTTTAGATGCGCTTCTGCTGCCGTCTGGAACGCTCTTCCTTTCGATATGAGGAAGCCACTGGAGCTATGCACTTTAAAATCATAATCTAGATTGAAAACTAATTTCTTTAGAACTGATTTTTGTGTTTAGTTTGGTGTCCTTCCCCCGCACCTCCGATGAGTGCGGTTGGCTACGTACGGTGCGAAAGAAGTTCAACACAAACATTCATAATGACCATCATTATTCGACCCAAAAAACGCGACGGCCGCAACTTCAACACCATCACCAATAGCAGCAGAACCTCGGCAAATGTCCTCTCATCTACCCTGTCATCGTCTCTGCTTCCTCGTCTTCGCTCTCCATCCTCTTCTCCGCCGTGTTCTTTTCTCTCCCTATCCTCTCATCTAAACTAATTCTCAACACTTTTACAAGGTAAGGCCCACTAAGCTACGTAATTGTTTTTCAAAAGCGACCTGGCCATCACGAATGTTAGCTCAACGAAGTGGCTTTATCATCATGTCGAGAATTATAGCAGCCAAATACTCAAAACGCATTCCCATTGTAAATGTGGTGGGGAAAACCCGGAGGGGTCGGGATCGAACCCATGACCTCCTGTATACCATGCGAGGTAGTTAACATCTCTTAGCCACCGCGGCGCCCTTAATGGTTTGGGTTATCTCCTCTCGCCTCCACAAATCTCTCAACCAGCATCTCCTGCTCTCAGCCATTATCTCCTCTCAACCACTATCTCATCTCAACCACCATCTCCTCCTCTCAACCACCATCTCCCAGCCACCATCTCCTGCTCTCAGCCATCATCTCCCCATCTCAGCCACTATCTCCTCTCAACCACCATCTCCTCCTCTCAACCACTATCGCATCTCAACCACCATTTCCTGCTCTCAGCCAACATCTCCTCTCTCCTCCACAAATCTCTCAACCACCATCTCCCCATCTCAGCCACCATCTCCCCGTCTGAGCCATCATCTCTCAGCCACCATCTCCCCATCTCAGCCACCATCTCCCCTCCCGACTGCGCCACCACCCCCTCCTCACCCTCCCAGGCAGGCCGTGAAGGGCAGCAGCAGGACGTAGAAGGCGGCCACGAAGGCGGCCACGGGCCACGCCACGAGGATGAGCGCCGCGAGCCACAGCAGCGCCCTCGCGCAGCCCAGCAGCCGCCGTCGGGCTCGGCCCGGCGCCTCTGCCGTCTCCTCCTCTTCCAGCGCGGTCTGTGGGGGCTGCAGTGGTGGTGAGGAGGAGGAGGTGGTGGTGATGGTGGTGACGATGGTGGTGTGGTGATGGTGGTGGTGAGGAGGAGGAGGAGGAGGTGGTGATGGTGGTGGTGAGGAGGAGGAGGTGGTGATGTTGACGGTGAGGAGGAGGTGGTGATGGTGACGGTGATGGTGGTGGTGGTGACGACGATGGTGGTGGTGATGGTGGTGGTGACGATGGTGGTGTGGTGATGGTGGTGTTGATGACGATGGTGGTGAGGAGGAGGAGGAGGTGGTAGTGATGGTGGTGGTGGTGAGGAGGAGAAGGTGGTGATGGTGACGATGGTGGTGGTGTTTACATCTCTATATATTGATTTTTTTATTTGACCAGGTAAGGCCCAATGAGCTATGAAGCGACCTGGGCCATCACAAATGACAGCTCAAGGAAGTTGGCTCATCATCGCGTGGAAATTATAGCAGCCAGGTACTCTTAAACGCACGTTGATTGAAAAAAGCCACGATGAGAACACGCAAACTCCAAATATAGAGCAGCAGGCGTCAGGGTCAGGATCGAACCCACGACCTCCTGCATACCAGGCGAGATAGTTAACATCTAGCCACCGTGATGCCCATCCCAGTCAGTCCACCCATGGCACCTGGGTCTGTCCGGAGACCTCCTTTCTGCCAGCAGCGAGCATTCGACCAACTAACTCCGCGCGTTACAAATTATAAATTATCACGTCACCTGACCTTAAAATGCATCTAGCCTGGCACGTGCGCCGTGGCGACGTCACCGCCACTGAGTGGCTAATTGCGGGTGTTGTTATCACCGTTACTGTGTCAGTATTATTAGAATTGTTGTCATTATCACCACCATGGCAGATCCGCGCACACCATGGCAGCAGTAGATGCGCGGATACCTGATGCACAACGAGGGCGACTTAAATTAATCAAACAAACAACAACAACAAAGTCTATCGGGTCGTGCACGACCCCGGGGTCATCCAGAAGAGACGCCGAAACAAGCGACGTGGACCCAGGCGCCAATGACCTCCTCCTCCGCCACCCCCCACTCACTCACTGACTCACGACTCACTCACTGACTCACTCACTGACTCACGACTCACTCACTGACTCACTCACTGACTCACGACTCACTCACTGACTCACTCACTGACTCACGACTCACTCACTGACTCACTCACTGACTCACGACTCACTCACGACTCACTCACTGACTCA